TACTCCAATATAATCGTGACCAGGGCCTCGCTGCCCTGCCCTGCTCCTGCCTTTCCCTCCCTCCCTCTGTTGTTTGCACTGCTGTCTGGCTGTTGTAGGCGACAGGCTTCATTGCGTTGGGAGCACTCCTTATGCAAGACCTTGAAGCCTGCCAGATACTGTGTGCACTCGGTAAACCCAAGGAACACATAGACGCTACCCCTGCTGGACAGCGCCCTTCCCTCCGCCCCGCCACAGTGCTCAGTAGCCGAGGCCAGGCCTTCTGGAGGCTTCCTCACTGGTCTCCTTGCAGGGAGGGGCTGGTCTTGTTTAGTCGGGTTCCTGCCAGGTCAGCTCTCCCGGGCCACGTCCCGAAGTGGGGCCACTCGATCTGTCACACCCTATTTGGCAATATTCAAGCGCCTGCATTGCCTTCTGAACCAAGTCCAAGCTTCTCAGCCTGGAAATTGACATATCCGACAGCTGCTCCCATCTCAGCTCCCCGTTTAGTCACTCTCCACCTCTTGGATAGACAATAAATTAAGCGCTTTACATTTAATCTTCATGATAATCCTTTGAGATGGGTATTATCCTTGTTTTTCAGATGAAAAAATTAAGGCTTATAGAGACTAAAGTTGCCCTAAATAACCCAATGTATTTCATTTCCTTGGGTTGCTGATGTGACTATAACTTGGTGGCTTAAAACAACAGATGTATATTCTCTAGCAGTTCTGGAAGCTAAACATCTAAAATTGTGATGTTGGCAGGACCATGCTCCCTCAGACGACTTCAGGGGGGAATACCTCCTTGCCTCTGCAACTTCCAGTGGTCCCAGACGTTCCTTGTTTCCATCTGCATCACTCCAGTCTCCACCTCCATCTTCACATGGCCTTCTTCCCTATGTGTCTCTTCTGTGTCCAAATTTCTCTTCCTCTCCCTTCTCTTATAAAAGCATCACTCATTGGATCTAGGGCCCACTGTAAATCCAGAATGATTTCATCTCAAGATCCTTAACCAAGTACATCTACAAAGACTCTATTTCCAAATAAGGTCACAGTTTGAGTTGGACATGGATGTTTGAGAAACACAATTTAACCCACTACAGCTAACAAGTAAGAATTAGAAACTACATTTTTCTGACTCCAAGCCTCATATGTTTAATCACTTCATGTAAACACCTTCCAGAAACTCCTGACAGAATTGGACTTCTCTTATTTTTCTAAACAGATTTTTCTCTTTCCTGCCCCTCTATCCTTGCTCATGTGATTTTCTTTACATAGACCAACCTCTCCCTTTTTCTTTCTTTTAACTAAACTTACCTGTAGAAATCTTGAGTAATCTTCAAGATCAAGCTAGATGCCACTTCCTCCAAGAAGTATTCCATGATTGCACCAGCCAAGCAAGGAATTATTTCTCCCATCCAAGCTTCCAACCGCCTTACTTCACATGTCTCTATAGGCCCTTCTTATCTTCTGTCCTATTTGAGGTTTTTATGCAGTTGTCCTCATTCACACCATGCCCACCTTCCACCATTATATCGTAACCATATCATAAGTTTCTTAAAGGCAAGACCACTTTCTCTCACTGTATATTCTCCGCAGCACCTTGGAAAAGCAGGACCTCCATTGGTTTTGCCAAGTGAATTCATAATCATTTGTCTCTGCCTATATTGAAAAGTTCACGTATTAAGCAAAAATATAGGATGCTTAAAATCCAACTTTTCTCCAATGCCTCCACTTGCCCAAAATGGATTTTTTTAAATAGTCCACAATTTATTTTTCCACATCAAGTCCAATCATTTTAATACTATTTTCCCTTCATTTGAATTATATCTGATGACATCAAATACAGTCCCTTCCAGGTATAATCCTCCTACGTTTTTTTAATTTTCTTTCTACCTCTAATGCTTCCTTCTTTGGTTTTTTGAGACAGTCAAACTCACTATTCTCAAGGGTTCTGAAGACCAGGACAAGGTCTTAGTCACCATTATATTCCCAGCACCTGATGGCGCCTGGGCGCCCAGTCCCGTCAGAAGGAGACGTGAGTGACGGAAGGTGCCGGAACACTGGGTCAGAGCAGAAGTAGTCGGAGTTCTCTGGGGGTGAGGACTTCTGCAGGTCTCATGTCGGTCTCAGCACAAACTGTGAAGTAGGCGTTCTTGTCATCCCCATGTCACAGGTGGGAAAACCGAGGCTGAGAGGATAAGGAAGTTTCTCCTGGCCACACATCTATAGGAGGTGAAGCCAGACGGAAACTCAGATAGATCTGTCTGACCCGAGGTGTTGCCCTCGACCAAAGCACCCTTCGGCCTAGGACGCAGCGGCGGCCGGGCTGTCTGCCCGGCTCAGGCTGCAGGGTCCCTGGGGTGACAGTCCCGGACAGGCCCTTCAGCTTAGGAGGCTGGGGAGCTCCTGGTCATTTGTCTGGGAAGATCTGATATAAGTGAGGAGGAAGACTGAATCTGGGAGAACAGAGAAGAGTGTAAATAGTGTGTTTGTGTATGTGGTGTGTGAGGTACTTATGTGGTTATGTGTGGAGTGTCATATGTGTGTTGTGTTTGCTGTATGTGCATATTGTACATGTGTGCTGTGTGGAGGAGTGTGTATGTGGTTTGTGTGAGGGGTGCAATACGTGTGGGGGTAATGGGCGGTGGGATATATGGAATGTGTGTATGTGGTGTGGGGTGTGTGTGTGGTATGAATGTGTGGAGTGAAATGTATGGTGTGGAGTGTGATGTGGGATACATGTGTGGAGTGTGGGTGTGTGGTATGTGTGGTGTGGAATGTGTATGGTGTGGAGTAGTGTGGGATGTGTGTGTGCGGTGTGGGATGTATATGTTTGGTATGTGTGGTGTGGGATGTGTGTGTGTGTAGTGTGGGATGTATATGTGTGGTGTGTGTATGTAGTGTGGGATGTGTGTGGTGTGATGTAGGACGTATATATTTGGTTTGTGTACTGTGGGATGTATGTGTGTGGTGTGTGTGTGGTGTGGGGTATGTGTGGTGTGTGTATGTAGTGTGGGATGCGTGTGGTGTGTGTATGTAGTGTGGGATGT